TATTAAAACAGATGGTAAAAGGTATGTACTTTTACACAATTTGCACTAAAAATTTTAAACTAATATATTTTAGATACATTATATTACATGCTGGAAATGAAAATGGGTTTATTGAGGGTAGTGAAGCGATATTTTCTTCGAAAACAAAATTGAGCGATTACCATGGAGAGATGAACCAGGACAATTTTTTGAAATGGTTTCAACATCAGTTATTAGAAAAATTGGAGAGTCCATCTATGATTATACTGGATAACGCCCCTTATCACAGCATGATATTGAACAAAGTGCCCAACAATGCATGGACAAAAAAAATATCCAAGACTGGTTGACAAATCAAAACATACCATTTTTAAACACAATGTTTAAAACAGAGCTATTGAGTATTGTTGCTCGGTACATAATGCTTCTTAATTATATATATTTTGGTCGACAGTTTATATTTCTTTTGTTTATTCCTATTCTTAAAATAACTGCTTTTTTAGAAACAAACCACCTAAAATATACGTGATTGATGAATTGGCGGAACAACATGGGCACAAAGTTCTTCGTCTGCCTCCTTACCATTGTATATTTAACCCTATTGAGTTAATTTGGGGCATAGCAAAAGGTTAGAAACAGACATATTGATAGAGATGATAACAGTGAAAAAGACTGTTTGGATATGTGGAACGAGGCTCTACAAACGGTTACCCCAGACATGTGGAAAAATAGTGTTCGACATACTGAGCAAGAAATTTTTAAATGGTATGAAAGAGAACGAATTTTTGATCGACCAGACATCGAACCTTTAATAATCAACTTTGAGAGTGATGAAGATTCAGATTCAGACAGCGCTGAAGAAAGAAACTCCGACTAACTTTATTGTACAGAAAAAGCTTACACCAGTAGCTTACCTAATTTTAGAATGCATTTTTCTGTATGAATTCTGTAAAATAAATACCATGCATAAAATTTGGAGGACCCCATTTGGATTTTTATTCAGTACCTTTAAGCTATCAATTAAATATGGTAGTTTCATAGTGTCATCTGATCAATAATTGTCATACTTAATGATTATGCAAGTACAGATCTATAATTTTATTATACTATTATTTTTGTTCTCATTTGAGGTTAATATTGCTTATAAACCTAGATATGTAAATAATAAATTTTATTATTTTACAAAAAGTTTGGCAACAATGTAAATTTTTCAACACACCCACCTTGATGACTTGCACGCCACTTTCTTTGGCGTTGACTATAAGTTGAAGTACCTTGGTTTAGGTAATACTGCTCTTATGTTCTTTGACTCTTGTCTAATCGAACGCAAAAGGTGAAAACCAGTAAAGGTGTATCTGTGCCCAAGTATGTTCCTTCTTAGCGGAATGCCCTACTGGTGGAGCAACGATATCTCTCAACAGAGACAGAAGTGTCACAAGGCACGTAGAACCATCATGAGGCTCGTCAAACACAGGCACAGATATCCGGAAGCGATCATCGAAGAAGCTAGCTCCTTGTATAAAAGCCACAAAAAAATGCTTCAGCAAATGATCAAAGAGTCCAAGAAAAAACACTGGAACGAACTTTGTGACAGCATTAACGAGGACGTATGGGGAGACGGATATCGGATTGTCATGAAAAAATTCCGATGTTTCGCGCCCTATAGCATGACAAAAGAACGAAAGAAGGAGATAGCAGAAGAACTGTTCCCACCACACGCAGTTAGGAGCTACAGTACAGAAACGGTCAACAACGTAGACATGTTCACGGAAGAGGAATTCGAACAAGCCATAGAAAAACTCAAAATGGGTAGAGCCCCTGGTCTTGATGGTATACCCCCAGAAGCAATTAAAGAGGCTTCGAAACTGTCACCAACCTGGGTATTGGGCTTTTTAAACAACCTTCTCACCACACAGAGCTTTCCGGAATCTTGGAAACGGGCCAAACTCTTACTGATACCGAAAGGAAAAGACAAATACAGACCCATTTGCTTGCTCTTGACAATTAGCAAGCTATATGAGTTATTGATACTTGCTAGGCTACAGAAGGAAATCGATTACAAGGGTGGCCTATCAGAGTTCCAGTATGGTTTCAGAAAAGGTAGAAATACGTTGATGGCAGTGGACGCAGTCCTTAAAACCATTAAGGGCAGCAGGGAAACATGGAGCGTTCTCATCACAGTCGACGTCAAAAACGCTTTCAACTCGCTACCGTGGCAAAACATAATGGAGGAGCTGAAAACAAGGGAAATACCACCATACCTCCGAAATCTCGTAGGTGCCTACCTCAGTGGAAGGTCACTCCAGATAGCCAAAGAAGAGACCTTAGACATAACATCCGGGGTACCGCAGGGCTCAGTCTTGGGCCCTACTCTATGGAATTTGGTCTACGATGGGGTACTGAGGAGTAAATGGCCACATGGAGTAAAAGCCGCTGCGTTCGCGGACGACTTGGCAGTGATAGTGCTAGCGCAGGATGAGGAGGCCCTTATGCATGCGGCAAATTTAGCCCTGAGGATAGTGGACAACTGGATGACGGCCCATCACCTCGAACTCGCACCGGAGAAGACAGAAGCTGTCATCATAAAGGGGAAGCGGAGAAAAGCAGGTATTACTTTTAACTGCAGAGGAACTTCCGTAACACCAAAGAAGTCTGTTAAGTACCTAGGAATTCACTTAGAAGAAGGAGGCCACTTTCGGGAGCATATTCGGGCAACGGCAGCAAAAGCAGACAAAAAAGCAGCATCGTTAGCAAGAATTATGCCAAACATCGGCGGACCTACCAGCAACAAGAGGGAGGTTATAAATAGCGTGGTGCTTTCAACATTACTTTACGGCGCCCCAATCTGGCACGACATTATGAGCACTACTAGATACAGGCAAATGTTCAACGGAGTGCAAAGGAAGATGCTGCTGAGGGTGGCGAGTGCTTACAAGACGGTCTCCACGAAGGCCTTACAGATTATTACAGGGATAGCACCGATCCACTTGCTTGTGGAAGAAAGAGTGAGACTGCACCGCCGGGAAGATGGGAGAACCGCGAGGGCCAGAAGGGAGGAGCGCGAGGTCACCATCAGTAAATGGCAGGACGAGTGGCACTTAACGGAGGACGTGGCTCAGTGGACAAAAAAAATAATACCTGACATCGGGAAGTGGATTGCTTGCAAGCACAGGCGACTGGACTACCACCTAACGCAGGCACTAACGCAGCATGGTACTTTTCGAGTATTCACGAAGAGAATACAGAAATCAGACAGCGATGAATGCATGTACTGTCAAGAAAAAGACACAGTTGCACACACTCTCTTCGAGTGCAACAGATGGGAGCGACAAAGGGCACAAGTCGTTGTTAGTCTAGGACACGCTCTGACGGAGAGTAATCTGACCAGCACCATGATGGCGAACAAACAATCGTGGATACAAATACAAAGATTCATCAGGGAAATACTATCAATTAAAGACAAGGATGAAAGAAGAACGGACAGCCCAAACTCCTAGGACATATACATGGAAATTTTACTGCAGAAACCGCTGAGGAAACGAAGACATGTGTGAGACACAGTCATGCTGGTAGTAAGCGCAGGCGAATCCCAGCATGAGGGTGGGGGAGGGGGTTTTAGCCCAGGTGGCATAACCTGAATGCGGATACTAGATATCCGGTCTCAGGTATCTCTTGGTGATTTCCCCCCAAGAAAAAAAAAAAAAAAAAAGTATGTTCCTTCTGGAGTTCCACAGGGCTCGATCTTGGGACCTCTACTTTATTTGGTTTTCACGTTTGACTTGCATAACAGTGTTGAGCATTGCACAATCCAAACTTATGCAGACGATACATAGTTAACATTTAATTTTGACTCTAGCAACTTCAATGAAATTTCTTATAAACTTAATGTCGACTTAGCTAATATTGATAATTTCTGCAAACGGCACTCACTGAAAATAAACCCTAGTAAATCGAATGCTCTTGTCTTTAGTCCACATAACTTTCCAGTTAATGTTGTTGATCTAATCCAACTGTCTGTGAATCATACTGTCATACCCTTAGTTAACGAAGCAAAAAACCTGGGCGTTATTTTGGATAAAGACCTCCGTTTTAATCAGCACGTGAATGCCACCCTTAAATCCACATATATATCGTTAAAATTATTATATTCAAACCGGCACATTCTTAATTTCAAAACGCGGAAAAAACTTGTTGAGAGTCTTGTTATGTCTAAAATATTTTATTCGCTGGTTCTTTATTATCCTTGTATTGATTATAACACTAAATATAGTCTGCAGAAAATCCAAAACAGTTGTTGTCGGTTCGTATATGGCCTCAGAAGGTATGATCACGTATCGTCTAAGATAAAAGAGCTAAAATGGCTAAAACTTGATAAACACTATACTTTCTCTTTGGGTGTATTTGTCCATAAATTGGTTTCCACAAGGTCACCCATTTATGTTATGGACAAACTTGTACCTCGTGGTCAAGTCATTTCTAGAGCCCTACGACATAACCATCTCTTCGGTATGCCATTCCACAGAACATGTATATTCCGATACAATGCTATCAGGACTTACAACTCTGTCAACCAGGTACTCAAGTCCAAAAGCTTACCTGTTTTTAAAATTAAATACAAATCTGCTCTTTTGGAATTGCCTTTTTAAAAATCCCTGATGATTAGCCGACTGATTTTGTAGCTTTTGTAAATTTTCCATGCTTTATACATTCTGTAATTGTTCATTGTTTTCTTTTTATTTTTCTGTACTGTACTATTGTCCTTATTATTATTATTATTTTTTCACTTCGTTTTTGAGGTTAAGTGGTAGAGTAGCCATGTGGCTAAACTTCGCCTCAATTCGAAGGTTTCAATAAAGACATTTATTATTATTATTATTATTATTATTTAACAATTGTGACAACCAACCCATGTGACAACCAGCCCCGGTCTCCCCTACATGTCATAAGATCCAAAAAGTATCTCATTTTCGAAATGTTTTGTTATTACATTACTTCCACGTCAGAAGGCGTGGAGAGTAAAAATGTCATCTGGTTCTCCCTAAAGGAGATACAGGCCCCAGAAACACGCTACCATTCACCAGCAAGGCAAAAATGCCTAGGCAGTTATCTCATTAAATTCTCAGTTTTAAAGTTGTGGTGTTAGACGATTTCAAGACATGGTACTTTTACATAATTGGAAAATAGCGGCCAATTACCCGGAGGAGGTAGATGTTTCCACCGGTAAGTATTATTATGTTGATTTAACGCTGTCACTTTGGTAGATAAATGAGTCAGAAGTATGCGCTAAAGCGACGCAAGAAAACACTTCTCAAGTTACTGATGAAGTCGAGGCGTAATTGTGCTAAAAGATTTCTGAAAATTCTAGTCGAAGAATGGAAATCTGTATAAACGGCAGAGGGAGAGAGCATTTGGAGAGTATTATTTACAATCGTGTGGCCTCCTCTAGCACATTGAAGTCATCTTCCCAGCTAGTTCTCGAATTTTTACATTGACGGCTTATCAAGTGTATAAAAAAAACATAACTTCCTTCTCAAAAACTGCTAGTTTTATCAAATTTTTTTTATTTAATTTTGATGTTGCTACCTATTTGCAGTTTCATCAGGCATTTAGTTACTATATTATGAAACTAATGACTCTCCTTGATGGCCCGTATCTCCATAGAAAGGACGTAGGGAACATTTTCCACAGGGGCATGTAACATCATTCCTATGTAATGCTGCTCCAGGATTCTTTGAGTTTCTTCATGATGTTATAGTTTACTATGAACGAAGCCAAGTTCTCACACTCTTGACTCCGGCCCTGATTGATGAATATATACTAGATGGCATCTATTTGATTGCGTATTGTAGTCACGTGATAGATAATTATTTACCGTTTATTCGCCGTCAGCATACAACAAATGCCCATTTCGCATACGACATGCTTATTAGTATTCACCGAATTGGCAAAAACATATATGTAGTCCTTAATTAATATATATTGCTTTTCCTAGCAGGAGTAATTAAACGAAAATACGCCGTAGACCAATAAATAGAACACGCACATAATATCAGTCTTTTAATGATAAACAATGCTGCTGTTATGATGTACAACATGTTGTTTTTGACAACGGAAACCAACATAAACATGTATTTGACGCAATATTGACAGCGTCAAAGCAATTTTCATTGCATTGAAATTAAGGTTCTATCAATGGCAAAATATGCTAATAAACACTTGCTTTCAACGCGAAAAATATACTATAGGGAAACCAAAAAACTAAGTAGTAGATTTGACTCAATTAAATGTGTTGTTCAAATGGCAGATATATTGCTTTCTTCATTTTCCCCTCGTCCTATGGATATACTCATTTTTACAAGTTTTTATTTAACTTGACCTTCTGTTAATATGTATATTTGTTAGTATGTGTGGAACTGAATTTTGAGTTAGATAAGCAAAGCAACTTCATTCCAAATCTAATATGACGCCCCAAGATGGCGTTTATACACGTAATTATCATAGTCACCCCTTGGTATCAAATGAAAGGGCTTGATGAGGGTACATACGAGGGATGTCTTTTAAGTTTTGCATATAGAAACGGATCGAACGTCAGTACTGAATCTTAACCTCACTCTTTAGTAAACTTAAATTAAAAGTTTCACAATAATACGTGTAGTGTTCTCACTACAGTGAATTTTTAAGTGTCACCAAGTCATTAGAAAAATGGAACCGAGAACATTTTCGTGCCATAATTTATTACAACTTTCAGAGACAATTATCGCAACAAGAATGCCTTGCTGAATTACTGTCTGTGTTCGGCAACGAAACGTCACATCAGTCGACAATTTCCCGTTGGTATGGAGAATTCAAACGTGGACGGGTGAGTCTTAGCGACGATTCCAGGGTGGGTGCACCAAAAACGGCGGTCACCCAGGAAAACGTCATGTGACATATCGCGCGATTGAGGCGTCCTTGAAGATTTCCAATACCTCAATTAAAAAAATTTTACATGAAGAATTAGGAGTAAGAAAATTAGTTTCTCGTTGGATACCCCACCTGTTGACAGAAGAGCAGAAAGCAGCCAGGGTTAATTGGCGTCAAAAAACGCTTTAAGCATCCCACAAACCGGCGCGAAATATTCGGTTTGGCTGCGAAAATTTCGCGGCGATGAATTCGCGATCAGATTAAAACGCGGCGGTTTACGGACAGGCTCAGACTTGTGCGTAGCGAATGCGATTGTTCCAGCGTTTTTATCGCGGCGTATTTCAGTTCGCCTTTGACCGCGTTTTCGACGCCGTTCTTCAAAAATTCGCAATGGCAAAAACGGAATTATTGATAGAAATAGTGAAAAAGTATCCTTGTTTGTCTGATTTGTCGAACGATGAATACAGGAATGTGAGAAAGAAAGACAAGATTTGGATGGAAATAGGAAAAGAATTAAATACAAATGGTATGTACCTAATATTTTTTATTAACTTGTTAAATAATTTACAGTCTACACAAATGTGAAAACGAACATTCTATATATTGGGCATAGGCATATCAGAATTAAAATAATTTACGAATTTGTCACGAGTAGAAAATGCTAGCCTTGCTGCCCGCCGAGGATCATTTGCTATACCAGTAAAAGCTCCAAGTACGGGTTCTGGAGGATCTAAGAATTGAAAATATTTGTCATCGCCACTTTTACTTCGTAAAAAATTGTGTAAAATACATGCCGTACGTACAATTAGAATAGTAGTATCTTCTTTAGTTTCTAATGGCCTGTAAAATATTCGCCATTTTTGAGACAAAATACCAAACGCATTTTCCACGACCCTTCTAGCTCGACAAAGTCTTACATTGTATTTCTCTTTTCTGACGTCTGTTAAAGTCTGCTTATAAGGAAATGGTCTCATAAGGTATGGTTTTAAAGCAAATGCTTCATCACCAATTAAGACGTACGAGCAGATTTCATTTTGCCCAGGGAGAAATCTAGGTGCAGGGACACTCATTAAATTTTGTTCAAATCGTTTTCCCATGTTTGAGGTTTCGAAAATACCCCCATCACTATTTTGTCCGAAACCACCAATATCAACACATATAAATTTATAGTCCGGGCCAACAATGGCCATAAGTACTATTGAATATTTATGTAAATAGCATCAGTAATTGGAGCCACTGTTGTTAGGTCTCTTGATTGTTACATGTTTACCGTCCACGCTGCCAATGCAATTGGGAAATCCCCATCTATTTTCAAATTCTTCAGCACATTTTTTCCATATATTCTCTGTTGGTTCTGGTAAATATATATGATCCATATGTCTGCATATCGCTTCACAGACTTCAGTTACGATTGCACTCACTGTTGTAAAGCCAACTCGAAAGCTATGCCCAATGGTATAGAAGGTGTCACCAGTGGCAAGGAATCTATAAAAAAAATCGTTTTTAGGTGATGAAGTAAAAAAAAGGTGGAAGAATATCAGAGACACATTTGCAAAATATATAAAATCTACCAAACCAAAGACCGGCCAAGCAGTGGGCAACATAAAAAAATGGCAGTGGGCTGACTACATGGAATTTTTCCATCCTTTTTTGGCCTTTGCCAAAACGTCGTCTAATGTGAAAGATATTGACGTCATACATTATGAGACTGCCGAATTTAACTCAAATATATATCAGGAAAGGGCTGGAAATGTAGAAACCGAAAATTTGGAAGACCGCGGCCATGGAGAAGATGAAAATGCTGATGTAGATGCAGAAGATTCACGGAACGCCTCGGCAACACAGACAGCACCACCTTCTTCATTGAACACTACAGCAGTGACTACTCCAGGGCACACCTTTCCGCAGACTGCAACTACACCAAAATATAAAACGAGCAGAAAACGCTATCATCATCTTCGTCTGTACAACAGCTCATTAAATATTTTGAAGGTAAAAAACCTAAAAAAGAGAACGATGCCATTGATTCACTTTTCTTGGCACATGCACAGACTGTGAAAACACTTCCCTTAAAGCGTCAAGCCCGAATAAAACTAAAAATAGCCGAATTAATAGCGCACGAAGAATTTGAACATATTGAAGAAATGTCTTCAGCGTCTACCCAGAATTCTGCAAGTATGTATGATAGTAGTATGTCGTCCTTCCCAAGCGGCACTGGGTTTACTCCAATAATATACCCAACAGAGGAGGCAAATTCTGCCTCGAATTATTTAGCAACATTTAATCCTAGTGGCAACATGTAGTCCAATTAGTACAATAAAATATTTATTTCACAATCCCTGAAGTTTTCGTATTCGATAAGCCTACTAATTTTAATACATATAATTTTTTTACCTGAGTGTAATAGCAAGTCGTTCTTCTGGCGAAATAGCTTCACGATAATTTGTGTCAGATTTTCGTATTTCATCTTTCACCAAGTTCAATATTTCATCGAAACACTCTGGAGTCATTCTAAAATATACGTAAAAGCGCTGTTCATCCAGCCGAAGTTGTGGCATCAAGGTATGGTATTCCCCAAATTTATTTCGTTCCAAGTTAATATCATGTACCCACTTCCTTCGTTTCCTAAACAAAATTGAAAATATTTGTTTTATGTACTTCGTTAAACTTAATACATACGCAACTATCAAATGGCGTTAAATAAACATAACTTACCATGCATTTTGTTCCTCTCCTAAAGCAAGAAATAGAAGTGCCTCCTCTTCTTCTGAAGACGAGCTCATTGCAAAAGGCAAAAATAAAATGTACGCAACCTGTCGAAACCTTCACGTTCGCGGAGCGAATAAGACGCTTTGGTATGAATAAACATGCGAAACAGATTGCGAATTTCGCTCTGAATTTCGTTGCGAATACTTCGCCGCGATTATTTCGCGCCGGTTTGTGGGATGCTTTACCTTTCAATTCCGGAAACTCAAAAAATATGTACAGTCGGCTGTTGGGTGTTCCAAGGTGAAGAACAGCCAACAAAAGTCATCCGTTCTCGACGTGTTTCGAAAAATATGGTCGCGACATTTGTGTCAAAAGCGGGTCATATTGCAACAATTCCTCTTAATGAGCAAAGAACTGTTACTGCCGATTAGTATACCACCATTTGTTTGCCAAAAGTCATCACCGAGCTTCGGAAAATCAACCTCGAAAGAAGAGTCATCCTACGCCAGGACAATGCAAGCTCTCACACAGCCCAAAAAACAAGGCAGTATTTAACGGAAGAAAACGTGGAATTATTGAACCATCCTCCATATAGTCAGAATCTAAGTTCTAACGATTTCTTTACTTTCCCGAAAATTAAAAACAGACTGCGTGGTCAAAGGTTCCAGTCACCAGAAGAAGCAGTTGACGCATTCAAAAATGCCGTTTTGGATCTGCCAGCAAACGAGTGGAATAAGTGCTTCGAAAATTGGTTCAAGCGCATGCAGATGTGTATTAATCTTCGTGGAGAATACTTCGAAAAACAATAAAGTCATTTAAAACTACCTACCGACATTCGACATTTTGAAACTTTTTTAAACTATCAAAATTTTCATTTTTAATTAATTTTCAAATTTTTATAGTTTTCAAAATTTTCAAAAATGTCTTCTCTTCTCTTGAAAAGTTTTGAAAATTTCATGCATCGTGCAATTTCCGATATTTTTGAGAAATTTCCAAATTCTGAATACCTGTGATGACAACTGTTACTGCTATGGATGGCGGATATCGTTATTTTTGAATATCTATACTGTTACTTTTTATCAGATATTTAAATAGTGAAGGAGTCATTCCTCAAACGGAATTTATTCATCAAGGAACGTCTATAAATGTCGACTAGCTTATGTTAAGGTCTATAAGTCTATTTTACCGGAAATCTAATAATGCTATACCAAACCTTATAATCAATGCTATGCACTTTGAGAATCTTGTACGCTTCCATCTTTCTCCAACGTAACCAAACCGAAGGAAGGATGCAGCGTCGTAAACTTCGAAGCTCAGAGACAAAATTAACCTTCCATCCAAGAGGACGCATTCCTATAATTCGCCGCCCTTCATAATGCTCCTTCCTGATTCCACGTTGAGATTACAGAAGGAATTTATCAAAGTGGAAACAAAATTATGGAAGCTCCGACTCTCAGGAGCAGGTCTCTGCCTCGAACAATCGACAATTTGTCATCCTCGGAAAAAATTACCACCGCCATGCTGTTATCCGCAAATCCTGATGGTTGGATATAATGAGATACGTTACGTTTGCGCGTAAAACTGAGGGAAATTGTAATAGAAAATTCAATCTTACGGCACACTTAAATTAGACAGGCAAGCACAACTACCGTCATATCGCTTCGTACCGTCTTCGCACCTGAGGAAGTATTGAAATCGCAAAAAATTTCGAAAATGGGATTCTATGTTCTTTGGATCTTGTATGACATGTCTTTCGCTCTGTTGTCTGTCCGCTAATCCTTGTCCCGTCTATAACTTGGAAACAACTGCTCGGATTTTGATGAAATTTTCACACATGGTTACTACCACGGGAAAACTTTGTAATTTTTGAAAATAGGTCCAGTGGTGGCGGAGAAAATGGAAAAACTGAGAGAAATAGAATTCGCTCAAACTTCGTTTTTTGACGTTTCATATGATCCTGATTTTTTTTTATACTCCAACTATCACGGGGGGACGCCACACGGACTTTGGCGAGGGAACACGTGTCTGGCTCCGCCTACGAGAACCGCCGGGTGGTACCTCCGCGTTCGACAGTCAGAGACCATCTACCACCTACGGACAATCACAACATCCATAGCCAAGAGAAAAATTTCTCCTGGGACGGGACTCGAACCCGCACAGCGCACGGCGACTGATCAGGAGACCGAAGAGTCTACTACTGCGGCCACCGCTGCTGCCTATGATTTATTATTAAACATATTTCACACATTTGCCCTTAAAGATATTTTCCGCAGATGGACCACGTACCTATCGGTCGCACTTACCGTGCATCACCGGAGTCTAATATTGCATCTTTGGCAGTGGATCAGAGGGACGTATAAAAGCAGGTAGCAGAGGGCGCGGTGTTATCAAACATTGTTGACACTACTAATGGTTCTGATGCCATTGCACTACTGTGAAGTATAGAGTCAATCTACTTGACGTATATCTTTTTCGGTTGACTCATCCATGCCATACGAAATGAATAAACACATCGACTAACCCTGACAGGGCTGTATCTTCGAGTAACCACTAAGTAAACCGATCTTCAACACAGCTGCCACTCGGTCTTGCATACATGAACAATGTAATAATGGTTGTTCTTTACAATTATTTTTTGGTGAAAATCCGATTTTATCACACTCTCTCGGCATTGTCCACTAATTGTATTCCAGGTATTACTGTATTTTATAACAAAGATCAACAAAAGATAAACTCAAATCGCACGCTACTGACAACAGAATTGACATATAATGAGACATAACTAAAAAACGTATGTCTCTGAGCTTATACAACAACTCAAAGGTAGATGATTATTGTTATGCATGTATGTATGAGGGAAAGTAACACTGGCAGCTTTTCTATGACCAGTCAAAAACCGGGAAAATATTTATACATTGATTAATTCTGTGTGTATTTGTGAGATAAGATGGCTACACTGACTTTTCAGCTAACATGGCAAGTGTACACGTAGTAGGTGATCTTTTTAGCAGAGCTGATTTTCGATAAACGTAACTTGATACAGGGGAAGTCTGGGAGAATTTATCCGTTTTCCACATAAGATTTCATAGATCCATGTGGAACGAGCGTATTGTCATGGTTAAACTTTGACACAAAAGCGCGGTTAATGAGCCCTACTTAAAGACATGAGAATATCTGACTCAATGTCACAGGAGCGGTATTTATGAAATGTATATTTAATGACCGTAACAGAAATTAGTGATGTATAAGGTCACGTAGAAATCCAAATTATCAGTGGATACTGATGTTACGGATGTCAGTACACACTGATCGTCTGACATGTGATCGGACACATTAAGGTGGATTTCACCCTGCGTTAAAAATAGTTATGATTATAAAAAATAAATAATATACAATTATAATTGGTTGACGTATTCTACCTGTAGATGGGCAACCTAATGCTATATTCTCGCGTCCAAAAAATAATTCAAGTTAAAATGAGATACCATAGCGTCATCTATGAGAATTTCTGACAGCTGCTAACCTATTTACTAGATATACTTTGAAAAGGCTAGTGTCTTATAGATGGTGCTGTGTATATGAGTGTAGCCGCCTATATGCAGCATGTAGATGTAAATTGAAAACCAACCTTTGTTACTATTTTAGCTTGAAGTCAAAATTGCTTTGAATAATAAAAAATCAGAACGGATTTATTTAGGAACATACAGCTACTTTAACCACAAAACAGCAAAAACATTTATTAAAAAATTATATTTACAGAGGCAAAAACAATAGTAATTTCGAATTATATATACTAAGTGACATATAAATCCGAACACCCAGTTTAAATGGTTTTATTTTAATAAAAGTTGGTGAATGTATTTATCTTACTGTAAATAACAAGTGAAAAAATTTTCAGCCTTATCAGTTGGACATTCCGGTTTTTATACTTCTTTTTTTTAATTCACTAACGCTCTAAAAATGGATATTTCAGCCGCAGTAAAGAATCAACGTTGGCAGATTTTGGTTCTTGACATCCTTTACGGAGACCTGTACGATTTCGTCAACTTAGTGAGTTTGATAGGGGCCGTATAGTGGGACTTCGGGAAGCTGGACTTTCTTTTCGGGCAATTGCAGTTAGAGTGCAAAGAAGTGTAGATACTGTGGTTAGGTGTTGTCAGGCATGGCTTCGAGAAGGCCGTACGCAAAGAGCAAGGGGCACTGGACGCCGCCGTAGAACAACAGACCGTGAAGATCGCCGTCTAAGATTATTGGCCTTAAGGGACCGTTTCTCCACTACCAGGTCCATTGCAAATGAATGGTTTGCAGAACACGGAAGACCTATTGGCATGCTTAGTGTTTACCGACGAATGAGAAGTTTTGGCTTGTTTTCATACCGGCCACACTGGGTCCTCCCTTTAACTCGAGAACACCGACGTAATCGCCTTGAGTGGTGCAGACATCGGTCACTCTGGGATCAGGAATGGAACAGTATTGTCTTTAGTGACGAGTCTCGATTTTGTTTAGGCATGCACGATGGTCGTGCCAGGGTTAGAAGGCGACGTGGTGAAAGGAGGAATCCACAGTTTTTTGTTGAAAGACATGTTCATCACACTGTTGGAGTTATGGTTTGGGGTGCTATAGCTTATGGTTCCAGGTCACCTTTAATCTTCATCAGAGGTAACATGAACGCGCAGCGTTATATCCACGAAGTTCTAGAACCCCATCTTTTACCCTATCTTGACACCCTGGCAGATCCAACTTTCCAACAAGATAAGGCTCGACCACATGTTGCAAGAGTCACAATAGACTTCTTTCAACATAATGATGTCACATTGTTACCATGGCCACCAAGATCTCCCGACTTATCCCCAATTGAGCACGTGTGGGATATGATGGGTAGGAGATTGCTCAATTTGCAACGTCCTCCTCAAACTCTAGAAGCACTTCGAGAGGAGTCGGTGGTTGCCTGGAATGAGATACCACAGGAGGACATTGACCACCTGATCAGAAGCATGCCTAGGCGCGTTGGAGAATGCGTAGCACATCAGGGTGCATCCACACATTATTAAAGGTCAAAGGGCTTTAAAGCAGTGCAATCATTTTGAAATTTTTATCATTTACTTACTATGCTTCATTAAGTACTTATACAAAATTTTATTAAAATAAAACCATTTAAACTGGGTGTTCGGATTTATATGTCACTTAGTATATCTTAATATCACCCAATCAAGTCTTAGGCTTTTGTTGAACTTTTTAGAGATTCGCTGCATTATTGCATTATGCAGTAGCATTATTGGAATACGACTTAATTTTTTTAAGAACAACTCATTTAAAAAAATCAAACATGAAGACATTTTTTATCTGAAGGACTAGACTATAAAAATATAATTTTCAATATTTTGTTACTGTAAAATGATCCCTGGCGATCTATATGATCAACTTGTGTCAAAATATCGTTCACTCCCAGGTAAACCCCCACCCCACTTTTTATTTTGAATTTGATGATAGTTTTTCAAAAAACTGGAAAAGATCATAAAGATTTGCTGTATAATTACTATACAGTAATGATCATATTATCGATTTATAATCTTGAATAAGTGGTAGCTAGACAGACTAAAAAATATGAATGTAAGAATCAGAAATCATTTCCTACTTACGACGTGCTGAAATGTGTCTTCCTCTAATCCGAACTAACCATTACCTCCCTGTCACGTAAGTGTAAAGAATGCCAATCAGCACAGATTATTAGCGTCTCCAGATCGCATTAAATTGCTGCATGTGGCACAAATTTTTCTACTCTCACTACATTATTAAAACCTCAACTTTT